CTGAACAGTGTCCAAATCTTTTCCCAGCGACTCCATCCAGGACGGCCAGCGTCAGGTTATCTGGAGTATCAGGATGAAGAGGCGTCCCTCCTCCTCCTCCTCCTCCTCCTCCTCCTCCCACGCAGCTGGTCTCCGTGATGAGGCTGGCCTCAGAGCTCTGTTCGTCGCTGGACAGAGAAGGACTGCGGACGTCTCCTCCCCCAGAACCAGAACCAGAGCCGGGTCCAGAGCTGGAGCCGTTGGCGCTGCAGGGAACTGTGGCCGGCCCGGTTCCTGCAGCTGAGGGCCAGGAGGGGGGGTCCTCGCTGTCAGGGCTGTAAGGGTCAGAGGTCAGAGTTACTGAGGATGATGATGGAAAAATTCTCTAGATCCGATCCGATCTGATGCTCATACGAATGGAAAAGATCGGAACCGATCAGAACATCTGCAGATCAAACATCTGGAACATCTGGCTGAAAGGGTTAAACATCTAAGCAGGAGGAGACGTTGCATTTCTGCTCCTCGGCTGTTAAACTTCTGTTAGCTTCGGCCTCTGGGGCCTTTTCACTGTCCTGCTTTCAATCAGGTTCTCTGCTGAGGCCCAGAGAGACACTGTCCACAGCTTCAGCACCACCCAACTACGGTGGCTGGGAGGGCTCAGAGGGAACCAGAGGCTCAAACACGTTCAGTCTGAAGGCCGGCACACCAAAACATCATCATCATCATCAGGAGGGAACCAGAACCAGCAGCTACTGACGTCGTCTTTAGCATCCAAACACGTTTCCAGGTTCAGACCTCAGATTATTTAGATAATCGAATAATCTGTGGATTATTTCTTCGATTAATTGATTAATAATCTGATAGCAAATGGTTCCTTAAAGAAGATTTTTTTTTACGATATTAAAGCAGGAGAAACTAAAACTTTTCCGTTTGAGGAGTTCTGATAGAGCAGATTGAGATTCAGCTAAAGGCAGGTTTTATAGTCTCTATTATCCAGTTTACGATTAACTGATAACTGAATTAGTTGATGATCATTTCAATAATCTGATTGTTTCAGGCCTGATTTAAACCCCAGAATGGACCCTGAGGGACGGGTCCAAAGCAGAGGACAGATGTTAGATCAGAAGACAAACTGGTTTTAACATCTGGATGTTTGTAGATCATTAAAGACTCAGTTTGGCCTCCAGCTTCTTTTCTTTAGACCTTCCAGTTCTGGACCGGAGAACTGAAGGTCTAAATGTTCTTGTTGGATCTGGTTTAAGAAGCATGGCTCCGGATTCACACCTAAACCGGTTTCGGTTTCAGCGAACATCGATCTGCCTTTTAATCCAAGTTTGTTCAGACAGAACAGGAACGAACCGGGAGTGAAACCGGTCATGAGAAACTGGTTCTGGTCAGTCGGGTTCAGCCTGTTACTCTTTGGCCAATAGATCTGATTAGGAACCCAAACAGCCAATCACATCCCAGTGATGTTAATCAGCAAACCGAACCAGAGCCTTTGGACCCGGGTTCTGGTTCCGACCGTCTCTATCTGCCCGGTGGACCCGGGATCTGATGGGCTCCTCCACCATAATGTGAAAAAGCTCAGATCATCTCAAGCAGAACCTCCCAGTTCTGTGGACTCTGATGATCTCCAGATGTGGGTCCAACAGAACCTCTGGGCCGGTTCTGAATGAGTCCAGATGTTTAATTCTGATCCTGGATTTAGAATCTAAACCGAACAGAACTCTGATCTGCAGTTGGGTTCTCTGGTTCTGTTGGTGTCATTACTCGTCGTCATCATCATCATCATCATCATCATCATCATCATCATCAGGTCCAGCAGGACCTCTTATCGAACCGAGGCGGGTCTCACCTGAACACCTCCCGGACGTGGCCGCTTTCAGGTGAGGTCTCCCTGAAGAACGGGACCACCCGGGACAGGCTGGCCCTGCGGCGGGACGCTCCGGTCCCGCTGGCCTTGTCCCCGACCCCTCCGAACCCCCCGGCCCGGGTCAGAGCGGTGGTCTGCTTCTTCAGGAACTTCTCCAGCGGTTTCATCCCCGCCGGCATGGTGCTTCTGTGGACCGGGGACCTGGGGGGCTGAGACCTGGGCTCCAGAGACCTGGGTTCTGCTGACACCTGGATCCTGGATTTTGGGTCGGTACCTGCTGCTGCTGCTGGGGCAGCGGCGCCTACATCATCCGGCCCTCGCAGGTCGGCTCAGGTGCGCGCAGGTGAGAGAGGAGTCTTTGGGGTTCTGTGGGACCAGCAGCCCGGTTCTGACCCATTGGGAGAGGCGGCGGTCTCAGGGATCCGGATCCGGGCCGCTCTTCCACCGCAGGTTCCGAGCTTTAGATCCGAGGAAGGAACGCAGGCGGAGCTGCTCCGGTTCGGGCTGCGGCTCTGCGGCTCCGATCAGGATCCGGGTCTCTGCGGTTCACCTGCAGGTCTACCGGCGGCTCGGTTCTACGGACCCTGGTCCGGTTCGGATCCCGCACAGGTTCGGTTCTCCGCTCCGCTGCTGCTGGCAGATTTTCTCTATGAGCGCCGATGAAGAGGAGCACGCGCGCTCCCCCGCCCTCCGCGCGACGATCTGCTGCAGTTGCGCGCTCCCGAATCTCCCTCTGCACGGTAGCGCGCAGGAGAAAAAATTAATAGAAATGGAAATATCCCCGACGACAGAACGGAAACAACGCGAGATTTCAGCGTGAGAGCTTTGATTTAGACTCTGATGCCAAGAAGAGAGAATAAAGACTGACCTGTGGTCCAATGAGGATCACAGCAGAGAACTTCCTAATCAGTTTCTGTTTCACTGCAGGGCGGGACTCCCCTTCTACCTCAGGTACACCTGTGGACAGGTACGCAGGGTTCTGGGCAGGGGCGAATTTAGGAAAATTGGGGCCCTAGGCAAAGACAGACAGGGGCCGTCTGAATGGAGAAGACAACACATCAAACAGCCCCATTCTACAGATAGAGAAACGTTAATAGAATAGACATCCATTATCTGTTCTAGGTTTTGTCCCTCTCCAGATTAAAAGAACCAGTACTATGTTATTAGAGACATTTTTCTCTTAATTAGCTTGGAAATTATGTGTTTAATATTATTTTAAAAGCTAAAAATGCATAAGATTTAGATTTATTTATTCATCTGACAGGGACAGTGTACTTTAAGAAGCATTGCTGCAATTACAGCAGAATTAGGTTATTTATTTTCATTTGTTGTCCCTGGACAGATCTTAAAATGATCTACCTAAAAACACAAGAATTTTGCAAATATAAAAAGAAATAAAAACAGAAAAAAATGGAATAAAATAATAATAAATGGAATAAAACATAAAAAAATTACACTATACATACATATATATATATATAAACAGCAGAGACAGAAATAAATTGTTGATTAAAGATGGCAACTAATTTTCTATACCAGATTTTAAAAAGTTTTTTTTTTATTTTTAAGTCGTCTTATTTTTTGCGGCTCTAAACTTTTCCTTGTTCTGTATCTTTGAAAGGTTGCAGACTTCTGGTTTAGACTGAATGGAAACATTAAGATCCTTTAATCAGGGAAGTTAAATATTAGACTATATCAGATTCTGCAGGGGTTCATATCATGGAGTTTATCTCCAGAGTTTAAACAAAGCAATAAAAATAAAAAATAAAGCCATGCACGTGGCACAGAGGAGGGAATCTGGATAAAAATGGAGATCAGTCACTTTAAAACGTCATATTATTATGGAGGGTTTAAAAACAGACGAAGCTGCATTAAAAAAAAGGAGAAAAAACCCCCAATAAAATCCAAAGTAAAATCAAGGAGTCGTTAATAAATGAAATCTGATTGATTTATTGACCTCATAATTGTAATTACGTCATAGCGTCACTACAGGAAGTAGAGTAAACCTCTCAGCCTCTCATTGGTCAATTTTTTTTCCCCCTACTCTGCAGTTTCCTGACCAATTAGAGCAGGAGGTTTCCTCACCATCCTCCTCTGCAGTGCATCAACCTTAACCGGCCAAATTCTACAGATCAGCTGCCGCCCATCACGGCGGGAGGCGTTGCCATGGTTACAGCGGAGAGGGGGATGCAGACGAGGATAAAATGAGAGGGGTGGTCCTCTAACAGCTGAGGCCCCTTTTGTCCTGAGCAGCAGATGAATATTCCTGAGGCATCCTGATTGGTCAGTTGAGCTTATGTAAGAGCTCCGCCCCCTGCAGCTCATTAATATTCATCAGGAATGAGAACAGCAGGTGTGATGATCAGAGAACAAAAGGATGGAAACTATCAGAACAAATATTTAGTGAGGAGTTGATCAGTTTTCATGCTTTAGTCTCCTTTCCAGATGACGTCCTGCTTTCTGCCGTTTCAAACTGGGAGGAAAAACTAAAGGGCTGGAAACAGATTCCCAGGCTCAGATGTTTGAAGCTGAAGTTTTTCCACAGCGTCTCCTGGACACCGTGGGGAAGCTAACAGCATCACAGCAGAGAGTTCCTCAGGGTTGGGTTTTAGGACCACTGCTCTTCTGCATCGTTCAATGACCTCAAAGTGGAAAAGGTTTCCAGTTCCACCCATCAGCAGAAGCTGCTCAGAGGCATCAAGTAGGAAAATACAAATACTTCATTACCAGGGCCGGAGCTAGATGGGGGGCCAGAGGTGGCCATGGCCGCCCTTAAGCCTGGTCTATGCTCAGAAACCAGGTCGTCTGCGTGTGTCAGTTAACGCAGATATGCCCCCACCCCCTCCAGACACTCTGGTACACCTCCACAAAACTGTAGCTGACTGCAGACAGGAGGCCTCTGATTGGTCGATTCTACATCTGCTCTACTCTATGAGTTTTTCCTGTTTGGTACCTAATGGCAGAAACTCTGGCTGTAGCTCCATCCACAACGCCTGGCACACCTCGGACTCTATCCCAGCCTCCGTGCAGGACGCTAGTTTGTGGATGAGGGGTTGTAGATGGCAAACAAGCTCGTCAAACTGACTCATGGACACAATCCTAGCTAGGTCCTGATTGGCCCTCTTGCGTTGTGGCATGTATAAAATAGCGCAGACCATGCGTCAATATTGGGCATAAATCAAAAATACCTGCGTCATACCTGCAACAAACTGCTGCTGGAGGATTACCAGCCCTTTAGCCAGTCATTGGCCATCCAGTCGGAGAAACAGGACTACACTGGAAAACAGGACAAGCTCCAACATCTAGAAACAAAGGTGTTGATGGCAGCAGCACAGCTGATATTTCTCTCCAGGATGGAGTCACAGCCAAACAGGAACAGACCAGATGAAGCTACTATGAGAAAAAGCATAGAGAGCAGAACGTTAGAGATTGAACTAACAGATTCTGCAGAGTGGGAGAATAGAGATAGAATGAAGCAGAATGATGAAAAAGGGGTCCCTATGTCCTCCAGCAGTCTAAGCCTATAGCAGCAGAACTATAGAGATTGCTCAGGATAACCTGAGCCACTCTAACTAGAAGCTTTATCAAAAAGGAAAGTTTTAAGCCTAGCCTTAAAAGTAGACAGGGTGACTAAAACTGGTAGTTGGTTCCACAGGAGAGGAGCCTGAGAACTAAAAGAAGACAATGGAAAAGATGTTCGCCCCAGAAATTTTGTCCACTATACCTTTATTTTGGCAGCATGGATGTTTAAATAAATGCGTCAGCAAAGGTTGTAGGAAAGTATAGTGTTAGGTTTATTCAATACTGACTATAAAATTAATGTATGCTTATGAAACATTTGTGCAAGGGGATGCTCCACTGTCTTGTGATTCAGTCAGGAGACCATCCTGTCTTTATGAGCTGATCAATTGTTCTTTTAGAACAATACTCTGTAAACATGTGTCGTGTTCTGTTAATGAAACGCTCTGCAGAGGAGGTCCGGTGTGAGAAAGTGTGTTTGAGTCTGGGGTTCAACCGTCTCTCCTTCTGCAGAAGCTATATTAAAATCCATTATTGTGTATTTCAGTTCTTCTTTTACAAACCTACATTTTTGATGCCGAAACCCGGGAGTCAAGATCCAATTGTCCAGGACCGTGTGGGACCAAGGCCAAGAATCTGTGGACAGCCGGGGCCAGTTTGGTCCAGCCCTGCCCTGGGCATCTTGGTTTCTTTTTTTTTTTAGAAAATATGGATGTTTTTCTTGTTCCTGTTTGAACAGAGATTGACCCTGAGGTTCTGGCGACATTTTGTTTCAATTAACATGTTTTCTGAACAAAAACAAGGCTTTTTTTGTTTACTGGATAAAGCCTGGAACTCAACGTTATTTCTGACATTTTGAACTGAAAAATCTTCCTGGATGGAAGAGAAAACATCTTCAAACTTGGAAAAAGTCCGTTGGATTGTTTTTTACTTTTTTGGAAATTCACCTTCAAAACTTCTGGTCCAGTTCACTGTTCTTCTGTGGGCGGCAATATTATGCAAATTTATGTTAGTTCAGCTCTACTTTTAAAACCTGAGAAGTCATATAACCAACAGCCTCTAAATGCTTTAGATAAGCAGCCGATACAGACGTCTGTAAAACTGAGAGGAAAGTTTAATGTTTGTTTGCAGCTGCTGGTCACAGACGGCTCAGAGACGTTCAGGAAAGAAGGAGAAACTTTATTCTGACATCAAACCAAAGACGTTTCAGATCTGAGCAGAAACAGAAGATGGCTGAAAACAAAAAAAATACAAACAAGAAATAATTCATCTTGAAACCTTCAGCCTAGGATCAGTCTGGAATTCCTGCTACGCTCCGGTCCGAATGTTTGAAACGAGCAGGCGGTCCAAGCGGCGTCGCTACAGAAACTACAAATAAAAAAAACAATCAGTTTGATGAAAAGGAAGACAAATGAGGCAGCGCCTCTCCACCGCTACGGTTTGGGTCCCTGCCGACTCGGCGTTGGCGTACTTTAACCCTTCAGGCTCATCTCCTCCAGCTTTATTCACAGCGGCGTTGGCCTCCATCACGCAGCCATGACGGAGCAGACGGGCCGCTGGGCGCTGGAGCAGGTCAGAGTTCAGGATTTACTTCCTGAAACCTTTTCATCTGACCGTGACCCAAACAGAGTCGGAGCAGATTTACTGTTAGAGGATCCAGAAGGTTCTGGTTCGCATGTTAACCGGTTCAGACCGGTTGGTTCTGAAGTCCTGTAACCGTGTGATTTATTCTAAACCGTTAAGCTGAACAGGAAGTCTTTGAACGGGACGCGTCATCAGTTGTGGGTCGGATCCGGTCCATCCGTCTGGCAGAGCGAAGCCTTGGTTCTGGATCGGGTCCAGACCGCTGACGGCAGAGCTGGGAGTAAAGAGTTTTGATCTAGTAGTGATGCTGCGGGTCGCCAGCAGAGTCTGCCTCCGTCTTATCCTGCCCCCCGCCACCCTCCTCGGTGGTCCGGTTTGGACCGGCAGCTCCTCACTGACCCGCCCACCCTGCTCCTGCACACAAACCCATCAGAGAGATTAACAAACGGACGATAGGAAGGAAACCTCTCAGCCAATAAGATTCCTTCTTTACGTTTCCTGTTTCTCACCTGTAGTTTCGAGGTCGGGGTGGGGCGGAGTCAGGGGGCGGGGACGAGAGGAGGGGCAGGTCACTCTGAGGCAAACGGAACCTCTGGAGGGGGGGGTTTGACAGTGACGGGCTGGGAGGTGCGGCGGGGGGGTGATGGTTTGGGCTGGGCCTGCTGCTGCATGGTGTCGTAGTACGTGACGCCGCCGTAGGTCACCTGGGACTGGCCCTGGAAC